CCCTTGCCGCTTTCCCCGGGAGCAACATGGCCGGGAGCAGCGAGGAGGCGCCAGACTACGGGCGAGGGGTCGTGGTAAATGCAAACCTGCCGCCGTCGGGCTGAGTCGGGAGCTCCCCGCGCTCTCCCTTCCCCACCCTCCTCTTAGATTAAATGCCCGGAACGCATTGGGCGCGGGCGCCCGCTGCTTTGTTCTGCCCTCTGAGGGGAGCGCGCGCTCCTCAGACCCGGCCCTCTCCTCCCACCCCTTCCCTTCGGGACGCCCAGTGCGGCCCAGTGCCTCCTCCTTTCCCGGCTTTCCCCCTGCTCCCGGGACCGCGACTCCCGCGCGAAGCGTCCACGCTCCGGGGCCCCCACTTCTGGCCCCGGGGATCCTCCTCCGGGTCCCGGGCGGGTTCTAGACGCCCCGGGAGCTACGCTGGGAACCCCCGTTCTTCTATGTGTGCCCCCTCGCCGCTCCCCCAGCGCCCGCTTCCAGAAAGCAAGCCGAGGGTTCTCAAGCGCAGCCAGGAAAGGAAAGAAAGGGGGACGGAGTTTGAGCTGGGAAACTTTTGGGACCTCTGGGCAAGCTCGAGCCCCCTGGGTGGTCGTCCTCTCTGTGACGGGGAGAAACCCTGAGGCCGGCCGTGTGGAGAGAATTGGTGGGGATTCTCCAAAACAATATGAGCGGGGTGAGGGAACGGAACGCGGGGCGACGAATTCCCACAACAGTGCCTTTTTAGCTCTGGAGATGCCGGGAGAGGTCAACCAAGAGGGTGCTTTTCCCGGGATATCCACGGACAAACAGGGGTTCTTGCCAAACGGGTTCTTGTCTTACTTGCCATCTGGCTGACCTGCTAAGAGTGGTGTCCAGCTCACCTGGGACGAGCTGAGAGCACATCCCATTCGTGTCCAAGTAGGACTGTGCTTTCGGTGGTGGTTTTTTTAGAAGCAGATCACCAGGACTTTCTTCAGAATTGCCTCTGCGTGGAGCGGAAGTCAGCAACTGAATGTTATCCTCATTAGAACCCACTCACTTCAAGTCCATCGCCCCTACAGGACGGAGGTCAAACTGCACCTTAAGCTATCTGGGACTGTCCCTCTGTGTGAGCGCAGTCTCCTCCAACACCCTGTAGGGAGCTGGTGGTTTTGAGCTGCCGACCTTGCAGTTAGCAATTGGGTGCTTAACCAATTGCACCACCAGGGCTCTATTTTGCATCAGAAGGTGGCCCTTCTATTAGTGTGTCTGATTTAATGCAAAATGTTGCTGCGGCTCCTGGGGGTGTGCTCCTGGGGGTGTGCGTGTAACTTGCTGCTCATTAAAATACAGCTCTTCAGAGCTCAGGCTGCAATTCAGAGATTCTGAGTGAGTGAGTGGGTTGGGGAAGGACACATCCAACATGAAAACAGATGAGTTGCTCCATTCCTAGGTAGAGCAACAGGACTGCCCCCTTCAGAATCCTTCCAGGATGAGGGGTTCCTTTAGATTCTCATGCTACTGCCTTGCCCCGTTTGAGGCAGGACTCGGCTCTGCTGAGCAAGACAAAGGCTCTGTCTTCAAGGAGCTTACCTTGCAGAGGGGAGAGATAGGCAAGCTGTGGCAAGATTATGGTCTTACTTATTCTGAAAGTGATGTGTGCAATGAGAAGGAAATGAGGTCATGGGGGAGAGAGTGATTGAAGTGGGGGATGGGGAGCATTGATTTGCTGTCCAGGAAGCCCTGTCTCTGGAGCCCAGAGAAGAAGGGTAAAGAGGAATGTGCCACCTGGAAGAACAGTACTCCAGGGCAGAGGCACTCAACACCAAGTGCAAAGGACACTTCACACAAAAGAATGCGTGCTCCTGATGCATTCTTAAAAAACCTTGTTGCCGTGGGGAGAATGGGCCAACAGGGTGGGTTAAGTGGGAGCAGGACGGAGTACAAGGATAACCAGAAATTCCATTCTGGATGTGCTGAATCTGCAGTGGCTCTGGGGCCAGAGGGGAGGATACACTGTAGGCGATTTGAAATTCCTATTTGTCATTCAGGAGAGTGGACAGATTTAGAAATCAATGGCCAATCGAATTGAAGATTGAGAGTGGGTGAGGATGGCCAGTGTAAATGAAGAAATAGGGAGGTAGAAGGCTGGACAGGCCCCCATGAAAGAGTCATACATGGAGAAAGCAGATTAAAGGGACCACAGAGAGAAAGGGCAAAGGGTTAGGCACCTCATGAGCAGTGGAGGAGAGAAGGGGTCGTGAGGAGGATCAGATGCTGCCAAAGGAGCAAGTAGTATAGAGGTGGAAGACAAGCCATCCCATTTAACAATTATAGAGCCATTTGTAGTGAGACTTTAAAACAACCAGTCTCACCACAAGTCACTGCCGTCAAATTCATTTCAACTCACAGTGACCCCGTGGGACAGAGTAGAACTGCCCCCTGTGGGTTTCTGAGACTAAATCTTGATGGGAGTAGAAAGCCTCATCTTTCTTCCACGGAGCAGCTAGTGGATTTGAACTGCCAACCTTGCGGTTCACAACTGAACACATAACCTTCTACACTACCAGAGCTCCTTTATCTCATGATCCTCACTGCCACAGAGTCAATGACGATGCTTAGTGTGATCCTGTGCCGACACGGTGGAACTTTGCCTGTGGGTTCCCAAGACTAACTTTTTAGGGAAGTGGAAAGTCTTGTCTTTTTTCCACGGAGTGGAGCAGCCCAGTGGTTTCAAACTGCTAACCTTGGGGTTACCAGCCCAGTGTCTAACCACTACACTACCAGGGCCCCTCAGTCTCCAGATAGAGTAGTTAACATAGAAACATACACATAATACAATAACCCAGAACAAAGACCTTGCCGCCAAGTCGATTCTAACTCACTGAAATCTCGGGTGTGTGAGAGCACAACTGAGCTCCACCGGAGTTTTTGGTTGTGATCTTGACAGCTGGTTGGCAGGCTTTTCTATGGTAGCACTGCTGGGCGGGCTTGGACCAGCAATCAACCTCACTGTTCATAGTTGAGAACAACCCAAGAACCCGTAATGTAATACTAGGCAGTCTTAGAAAGCATGAGGTAGATGTATCCACACTGATAAGAGGAGCAGGCCGTTAGAGCTTAAAAACAAATGACAGACACTGGGTAACCTCAGCTAACAGTATAAAAGGAGTCCCTGTGGAGCCAGAGTTGTGTGATCTTAGGAGGTCACCTCTTTTTGCTGCAGTTACCTAACCTGTCAAATGGGGATTAGCACGAGTCTTCCTGCTGTGAAGATGGAAGACATTCGTGACAGTGCTGGGCACATCCCTTTCGCTGCCATCAAGTTGATACTGACTCACAGTGACCCAAAGGGCAGAGAGGAACCACCCGGTGGGCTTCCGAGACTATACCTCTTTTATGGGGAGAGAACGCCTCATCTTTCTTCCTTGGAACAGCTGGTGGTTTTGAACAGCTGACCTTGCACCTAGCAGCCCTATGCACAACCACTACAGCACTGTGGCTTTTATGCCAGCTCTTGCTATTATAGTGTCTTGGTATAGCTACACGCTCAGAAAATAAATGGACAGAACCTACACACCAAGCTGTTAAACAATACCGACCGAAGAAGGTCAGGGAGGAATTGGAGGTGAGAAAAACTTAATATGTCTTAAAACTTGGTATTGCATTTGTAATCAAAGGAAGGGAGGAAGGAAGATGGATATTTTGACCCAGCGAACAGTCAGAGAGGTGCCAGGTTGCAGTGGGTTGAGCGATAAATGGGGCAGGGAAGACGACATTAAAATTTGCTTCGAAGGGAAAGAAAAGATGGACTCGACACAAGAGGCTGCACATATTGTCTTGACTGGGGGAAAGGAGCCAGTGTCCCAGAGAAGTGCACGAAACCTGGAAATCGCTGCCCAAGAATGACCACAGCAAAAACCTGGAACTCTGCCATCAAGTTATGCCGATGTATACCCACCGGCCCTGTAGGACACAGGAGAACTGTCTCTGTGAGTTTCTGAGACTCACTCTTTACAGGCGCAGAAAACCCGTCTTTCTCCCAAGGAGCAGCTGTTGGTCTTGAACCGCTGACCTTAAGGTTAGCAGCCCAACTTGTAACCACTATGCCACACAGAAGGACAGGAGGAATGAAGCTAATCATGCACTTGGACGTCAAGCTTGAAATTTCATAATTAGGAAGAAGAGCAGAGGGAGTAGGGAAGGAATCGGATTAGTAGAGGTGACAAGAACATTCCTGTGATGTGGCCTCAGAGCAGGAGGCACCGTGACCCTGTGAAAGGTGCCGGGAAAAGTGAGCGAGAGTAGAAGTGGCAGCCGTGGGCTGAGGGTGACAAACCGTGGCTAAGCCGCGTGTGGACAAGGAGTCCATGAGTAATGGAATCAGGATGCTGGTTTCCTCAGTAGAACTTGAGATAAACAGGTTAACTTCAAGTTAGATTTAGGCAGGGGAGGGCAAGTGCAGCATTAATTCTAGAAGGCGCTGGAACTCCATGACTATTTTGGGCCGAGCGGGAAAGGAAACTGATAAGATGATCAGTATAGTGAGAGCAGGGAGCCCTCAGTGGGTTAAAAAGAAAAAAAAAATCGCATGCAAGTTTTTCGTCTAAGGTGATAAGGATGACCATGAGAGTTCTAGGGGCAACACTGAAGTGCCGAACTGCTCACGGAAAAGTTTGAGTCTTGCCCTCCCCCCAGTGCCCCCAACTGGAGAAAGACCTGGTGACCCACTCCCAGCCAGCACAGCCCAGGGAGCTGGGTGATGACAGAGGGCTCACGACGGCACCCGTGCTCCACATTGCCCATGTGCTTCTCGGGGCAAGTCCGTTCCAACTCATAGCAGCCTGATGTACCGCATTAGGAAACGCTGCCCAGCCCTGCACCATCCTCAGAATGGTTCTTAAGTTTGAGCCCATTGTTGCAGCCACTGTGTCAATCGCCTTGTCCAGGGTCTTCCTCTTGTTCGCTGCCCCTCTCCCAAGTAGGATGCCCTTTTCTAGGGGCTGGTCTCTCCTGAGAACACGTCCTTCCGTCCTTGAAACCTTGCCATCCTTGCGTCTAAGGTAAGGTAACCAGATTTTAATATTGGTAAAGCGGGACACCATTGATAAAACTCATA